AAAAGGTACAGCTTTTTCTTGGTTTTGCTAACTTCTAATGATGCTTTATAAAGAACTTGAGCTCCGTAGATGCACCTCTCCATGCACTCATCTCTGCCAATGTCCAGTTTGTGTGGACTCCACAGGCCGATGAAGCCAACCCACGTGCCTTTCTGTAATTCAACAACTGCTGAATGCAATTGTGATGAATGCAACACAAAACTTTTGGCAGTTTAAATAGCGCTTGCGGAATGGAGACACTGGCTGGAGGGGCTTGAGCAAACGTTCATAGTATGGACCGTAAATACTTGCGTAAAGCTAATCGACTGAACTCACGGCAGGCAAGATGGGCTTTGTTTTTAAACTGTTTTAACTTTTCCTTGTCATTCAGAGCCGGTTCAGAAAATGCCAAGCCAGATTCACTTTCTGGTGTTTTTTTTTATCCTGAATCCTCAGCCTAGGAACCAGAAATGTGTGGCAGGAGTGGTGAGAGCCCGTTACCTAATGGTTCCCCGCCATATAGGCTGTGTGTTCCTGTATCTGTGCGACCTTTCATTGGGCTCACACCTCGTTGCTCATCCGGGGGTTAAAAGCACCATGTAGGTCATCAAGCAACGGGTCTGGTGGCCATCTATGGAAAAGGATGTCAAGGAGTATGTGGCCGCCTGCATCATCTGCGCCCAGAATAAAACCTCTTCCAGTCCCCAAATGGTTCTGCTCAAGCCACTGCCTGTTCCCAGCCGGCCCTGGTCTGACATCTCAGTGGACTTTGTCACCGGATCGCCACAATCTGAAGGTGACACCACCTTTTTCAGGGTGGTGGATAGATTTTCTAAAATAACAAATGTATTGTTTGGCCTAAGCTACCATCAGTCAAATAAGCTGAATGTTTTTTTGCACCATGTGTTTCGTCCCCCCCCTGCTTTCCCAGAGACATCTGAACTATCAAAATGTTGATTTGTTGCTGTTAATCATACACCCGGGCCATAACCAACAGGCAATTTCGGAGAGCACATTGGCATGAAGACACTTTTTTTTTTTAAAGAGTAAATTAAAGTACATAACGAGTCAACCGATGATCAAACACACATACACGTGTGTTCAGGTCTGGTTATATAAAATGTTGTTTTTTGATTGAAGGATTTGTGCATCTGCTGCTAACTGGCCCTTATGCCACCTCACAATGTTTCTGCCAAACACAACACCAGGAGGGCCAACACACACACACACACACACACACACACACACACACACACACACACACACACACACACGCAGAGAGACACACAGACACAAATACTCTAACAAGGTTGCGTAACCTAGCCATATCGTTCTCTCTTCCTGTCTCTTTATCCTTGTTTGAATAATTTACCTTTTCTATTACAGTAAGAGAGATACAGTATAGAATAACGGCACTGCTCTCTCCATAGAAACACTATGGCGACGCCAGCGCAGAGACGGGCACTAAGGCAGACATAGACGGCATTGTCACTATGATAACTTCAGCTAAACGTCGGATCTACCAGAATAAAAAGAATATCTGAATTTCTATCAAATCCTCCCAATCCCTCCCAATTGGTTAGCTGGCCGGCTCTGTTGTGATCGCTCAGCTTAGAGTTGTCCTGCCTTTTAGCAATCACGTACAATGTGTTGGAGCGTAAGCAAATAGAAGCGCAAGTTTTACCTATTGATGTCACTGATGTCACTGATGTCACTGATGTGAACAAAGGAGACCACCATGCATGAACAGAATTGCAATATCAACATGTGTTGTTTCAAACATTTAAATGCTTGAACAATTTCTTAACAACAGCATACTCAGCTGTTTTTGCAGCATCTACTGCCATAGTGCATGTTTTCCAATGTGGCACAGGTTTTTAGATCGGTTTCTGTACGGGCAAACCCTGGCAACATCACAGTGACAACACACAAGTAGGCTGCACACAGCCACTGCGCTAACATTTAGGAAAAGTTCAATCACATAACTCGATAAAATGTTATTGAGCTTTGCAGTTGTTTGGAGAGAGTAAAGCTGCAATCCTTACTGCAGCTTGAGTGGTATGGAACTTCATATCTAACTTGGAAAGAAAGAAAACAAGCTATTTCCCAAAAACATGTAAAGGCCAGAAGGTCAAATGTGAGAAGTTGTTGCTTGTAGAGGCTGATAAGGCAGAACGAGGGGTGAGTAAAACAGACAGAAACAAAGCAGAGAGGAGAATAAGGAGCGTATCAAATGAACCTGACACTGTAACTGAACCACAATCTGCCACTGAAGACACAGGAGAAAGTGGGTGTCAGCTGCCAAACATTCTTTAACCTGAAACAATCCAGAGCAGAGGAACTCACCAGCGGATAGCCTCTGATGAATTCAACAACTTAGACCGATTTCAAAAGCCGTGAGTGTAGGAATGAAATGGATGGTATCAGATGACAGCGGGAATAATAAAGTGACATGTTTACAGGAGACAGATCAGCAGGCTGGCAGCTGTCAGACGCTCCCTCAGGGAAGACATCTTACCTGATGATACGTTTCAATCAGTATTTGTTGGGTATTTAAGGTATTTGCTGTGTTGCTGCTGCTTGCTAAAAAAACACCACTTTTTATTAATTAGATCCAATCATAAAGAGAACAGTTGAACATTGAGATACTATACTATTACTTTTTTATGGCATAACATATTTTTAAATTTCCTTTGCTATTATCAACAATGTATACACAACTTTGTTTCACCTTACTTAAGTGCAAACACTTAAATTAAGACTTCAAATAAATGTACTTAAACAAAAACTTTAAATTATTTTAGCAGTTATTTTGTAATTACGATTTTTATTTGTTTTTGTTACCGTGTTTCAACTGCCACTTCAAACATTTTCAGAATTTCAGCTGTTTCAAATATTTTACATTTAAAACCTTAAACAAGGGGAATCTTTCAAGAGAATACTTAAAGAAATTCACTCACTTTAACACTAAACGTTAGCCTCTCCATTTCACTACCACTTTTTCAGTTTTATTTTTATCTTCCCGTTCAAACTAAACATTTAGTATAGTATTGCACATTTTAATAAGTGATTTCAGTCAAATTAGACCTTTCTTGTTCTTGCTTACAGGAGAATACTTACCTTTCATGGTACGTTCATACACCCATGTACTTTTTAGGTACTCCCCCACTGATGCACATGATGCTCAGAGCCTGCTGGTTAACACCATCTACATTGAAGCCATTTCCTCTGGACTCATATTCTGTAGACACGGGCTCTGAGGATAATGCTGTACATGCCAAACGTGGCTCAGCTCAGGGTGTGGTGATTATCAGAGAGAGAGTTGCATTGCAGAACAAGGAAACCTGGCACGACATGACAACCTTTGTTTGGAGACACGTCCGGAATTATCATGGTGTAGTATTGACTGTGTGATGAGGACAATTAGAGAAACTAGTTAAAAAGTGATCTACTCACTTTAACGTACCAGTCTGAACACACAGGAATTAGCCTTTAGAACAATTCATATGTTTGTATTTATAATTGTAGAATATCATTGTGTATAATGTACATCTTCCTAAACCAAATGCAATGTGGGTAACTGTTTTATACAGTGAGATTTATTGAGAGACATCTAGACATGCTACTGTTTAAGTATCTTAATATCAAATATTCCATTCATCTTCTTATTTGCAAAAAATAGGGCTGCATGATTTAGTTTAAACACTGTTTGAAGTAAACACTGTCTTCTTTTGCTGTTCTGTATAGTGTTTATTTCCTGTCTGTCTTCTTCTGTTGATTTCTCCGACATCCAGCGCTCTGTCTCTTGACCTCTTTCATTCTCTTGCGCTCTTTTTCTTTTCTTTTCAGTTTAGCTATCATGAATCCAAAGTGTTGTGCTGATGGAGAAAAGTAATGTGGTCTGTTAACAACAATGTCCAACTTGACCAATCAGCATCAAGTATTCAACTAGCCCATGTAATGAATAATTATGATATGATTTTTAAGGAGGAATTGTATCGGTTATAGAATACGATTTGTAGGCTGTTATATCTTTCAAGCTCCACAATATTTCCTTCAAAATGTTTTTCTATAAATATTGAACCTTTATCAAAAGCTTTGCTTCCTTCCATTTGAATATTGAACTATTCAATTTCCATTAAAAAACAATGAATTGGGCTGCCCTGGCAAAAACCTAAAATACAGATATCACACAACTTTAATGAATACAAATCCTAGATTAACACAAGTTAAATATTTTGTTGTAATTTGTTTGATTTAACCCTGTAAAACACCACCTGAGGATTATGTGGAGGTGTGTGTTACTGGATGGTAACTCCAGCTTTAAAGCGTTGCTCTGTATCTCCAGATCTCTGTTTCATCCTGTCGTAATTAATGCAGGAGTTTATGCAAGACCGATCAGGAAGCAGCAATTAAACACAAGTATGCATGACGGGTATGACAGGAGCAACGATTGACGCCGTGCCGAAACGCACGCCTTCACACACCCTTATATGTACATAACACCTGAACTGTTTGTGCCTACATTGGACATGCATATAGACATGAACATTTTTTTTTCATATAGAGGTATCTTCACTCATATTGTGTATATGTCAACTCAACTACTCCAGGTTATGACTACTCCTATTTGTATTCATACAATTATATCATTTGTATTCTTATTATGTCCACTCTATCTTAACTTGTCTTTTCACCACTAAGCACTGCATTTTAAAGGCACATTACACAATTGTATCATCCAAAAACCACATGTAGAATGCTAAACATTGTTTAAAAAAGGCATTTAACTAATGTCAGGGGGGAAATCTCTGAAAGGTCCCCTATTATATTCTTTTACATATATAGTTGTTAGTTATATACAAAACATGTGTCTCTGAAGTGTTTGGCTCGAAATACCAAACAGATCATTGTAGCATCCCATAATCCCCTCTGTTTCGGGGGGGGGGGGTACCTTGGTTGGTGGTTGGCTAATGGTTACACAAGTTATGACATCATCAAGTGGCCAAAATCTGATCAGCTCATTTTCAGACAGGTTTTTATATAAATGGATCAGGACAAGAAGAGAGCGGATCTTTTTTCTGACACTTTCAGAATCTCTTTACACGGACGGGACACATGTTGATGTATAAAAGACATGAAAAAGTGGATTTTGCATAATAGGTGACCTTTAACTGAGGTGTTACTCTGTTAACTCAGCTGCTAACAGGTAATAATGCTATGAAACAAGCTAAGTGAGCTAAATGAAGCCACACTACAAGCCACGTAGGTTTTACTCTTTATTTCAACACTAACAGTCATGTGTAGTTTTGTTAGCGTCACGGTGTAGCCACAGAGCATCTGAACACTCTGCTGTAGCTTCAGAGTTGCTGATTTGGAGCCATTTAGCTGAATTTCATGTACGTAGAGGCCCAAACTCTCCCTGAACAAGCTACATAAATTAGCTATGAGCTAGTATTTGGCTAAAGCTAACAGCTAAAGCCACAGAAACAGTATCATCAGTCTCTTCTATGTTATTCATTCATTTACAGTTGGACAAACATGTACGATTCATATCAATGCAGTCGGACAAACATACAGAGGGATTTAACTGAAGGATGATCTTAAAATAATTTATTGTGGTAGCTTTCGTGTTGTTTTCTGTTGCAGTTCCTGGAAAAGTTAATAAGGAAGCACAGCTAACACAGCAACTTTTTCCAGGATGTAGAAAGTGAGCGGGGGCTTAAAATAGTTCTTCTTAATGTCAGTGTTCAGAGATACAGAGGCTTTGGTCTGACTAAATGGGGTAATTTCTCTTAAAATGTAATCTTACAGGTGTTTTACTCACAGATTGACTTAGATAAAACAAGGTAACATTATTGAGGATCATAATGCCTCATGAAGGAAGTAAAGTATGACAAATGACTGCTTCTAATTTAAATGTTATGTCGTTTTTGGACTTCTTGGCTTTCCATAGATTGTTCCATACATTTGTTAAATAGACAGATAAGACTAAACTGTAGCGATCGAATGTGCAGTCTCACATTTGTATTCCTGGTGTTTGTTTTCTTACAGATGAATTTATGTAAACCGTCCTTTAGGGAAATAACTTCTTGTATTAACGTGGCCTGCTCCTTGATTATGGTTAAGGAAGATGCTTTTCAGGGAAACAAGCCACCATCAGAATGTTGGTGTACTCAGCGGTGAAAGCTGTTACATATAATAAATGAAATTCTCAGTTATCTAATGTTCACCTAAAGCCATAACTTCAGATGTATCATTTTTAACAGAAAGCCAGATTTAAAAGTGAAATGTGTGAATTATTTGCATTATGGGTGCATTTTCAGTGTTTTTGGAGCTCGATCCATACGAACTAACATTTAGGCTGTCTGCTTGAATTGTATTTATTAGTTTTTGTGTTTTGTAAGTCTCCTCTATGGAAGTAAAATACTGGACTACATCTTTTAAAAAGCGCACATTTGTTTTTGCTCTGAACTTATATCTTTATGAATATTCTGTGGACTGTTTTTTCCCTCTTAATCAGTGGTTCCCAACAGTTTAGGACCTAGCATAGTAGTTAAGTAAGACTTTACCTTGCCATTGATTGTACATTTCAATGTTGTTTTGAACAGGCTGAGGTGAACTGACATTAATTGTGCTTTTGTCTGATCCAAAGAGCATTTTGGAGTTGACCTAGCAGTACTTCTCTGTGCTTTAAGCTACAATTACTTATGACCTTTTAAAGGAAACCTGTACTTACAGAGTGTAACACTCAGTCTCTCCCTTTTAGCGGCTTCAGCAAAATGTGTCCTGACATAAGCAAGCTGTTATTAACTCTCTGTGTCGAGTTTACTTTGAAGTAAGTTTCTCGATGAAGACTACAGATTATCAGTGGTTTATTATAATACTCCTATGGGCTATTTGTCTTACTCTGTTGACTCTCCTCATGGAGGTGAGCTATGGAGCAGCATGGCCGTATTTCCCCTCTCTACTCATGCTGACCCCCCAAGCTTACTGTGCAACTACTTTTAGGAATTATTGCTGTAGAATGATCTGTGTTGAGGTGCATTTTGGGAAACATCTCCCAGTATAGAGTGGTGCAGGAATGAGTCCTAAACCCTGAAATACGTTTTTGCAATATTGCCCACCCTCGTCTTGAAGTATTTTTTTTTAAATAGCCTATGTTTTTGGTTAGATTTCCGAAAACGATAGAGGTTTACGAGACTTTCATGCTTTGTTTTTACGACACAAACTAAGTCAGTAAATAGCCCACTGGTGATAGTCTGAAGCTTTTACATGTATTACAAAAGTGGCTAAATTAGACTACTAAATGTCAACATGCCAAACGTTAGCTTAACTTAGTTTATAAATGGCCTAACGTTAGCTTTTTACTTCTGCCGTTTGCATTTACACTTCAACTATCAATATGGTGTTAATATGTGGAGATTATCCTGCTGAACAAAACGTGTACATTTCATGAATGTGTGTTTGCCACATATCTTATTTTCTTCAATATTCCATCCAATATCCAATGGAAAATGCCCATTGTTTTTTATTGTAGGAGCCCTTGCGATGCTAACTTCCGGGATATACTACAAAAACACGTCATCACTGCACCACTCTATAGCCAACACTGATTCTCTGCCCCTGAGTTTAATCCAACATGCTTCACAAAGTCTATACCAGTGACTCGCACACAGGGGGGTTGTCAGAGTCCTGGCTGTGCATGGAGCTCAAGCCTGTGTCCGAGTCCTCGTCGTTGGTGTGGCAGGTCTTGGAGAGACCTCTGGCCTGCTCCACCCAAACGCTGCTCTTCTCCTCTGGGGGCTCAGCTTCAATGCTCACTGGCCCCAGCTCTGCCTCACCATCCTCAGTCACCTGCTCTATCTCCATGGTCTCAACTTTAGCCAGTAGGTCCAGAAGTTCACTCTCCCTGGTCTCCCAGAGCGCCAAACTCAGGTCCAAGTCCCCCCTGGTGGAGTCCAGGTCTGTCTTCAACCGCAGCCCGATGTACAAGCTGGTGTCCAACTGCGTTTTAATCCTCTCCTCCTCCAACACAAACTCATTCTCAGACGAACTATCCACATCTTCCTCCACAGCTGGAGAGGCAGCCAGGCTCATCTCCTCCGCGAGGCTGTCCGTGTCCTTCGCCGCTTCCGCTCCTATCTCCTCCCGACGCCGCTTCATCCACCGCCTGTTGAGCTCCTCCTGGATCTCCCCGGTGATGCACTCCACCAGCGCCTCCCGCTCCGTCACCTCATCCTGCAGCCGCACCACCTCCTCGCACCGCAGCGCATACTCCTCGAACTGCGCCACCGCCTCCTCCGTGCACCGCGCGTCCTGCCGCTCGGCTTTGCGCTTACAGTCAGAGGCGGCAGTGTCCTCCGAGGAGGCGTCCACCATGTATGTGTCCTGCACATAGTTCACCCCATGTCTCTTGATGCGGTCGAAGTGCACTTTGGCCTCGTACCGCTCGATCTCCCGGTCCAGCTCCTTGATCCTCTGGACCTGCTGCCGGATGGTGTGGTCCTGGGAGATCACCAGATGAACCAGCGTCTCCATCTTCTCCACCGAGCCCTTATCTTTGGGGACAGTCTGATCCTTCTTTTTGTTCATCTTGTCCAACTTCCTGAAAGCCTTCCTGACTATGCGCCTCTGCTTGTCCTGGGTCAGGTTGGCCGCGGTGGCCGCAGCGGTCCAGCAGGTCTTGGCGGTGCCCTTCAGCCCCCCGCCCGGACCGCCGCTCTCCCGGCTCTGGACCACACGGGCCTCAGCGCTGCGGGGTCCATTATTAGGTAGCGAAGCCTCGTTCTTCACCAGGACAAATCGGACATTCTCCTGCTCTTCCCCCCACGCGCCATATAGCCGGAGGATTTTGGTCTTGTTGGGTAAAATCCTCTCGAAGCCTCTCCATTTCTCCACCACGCAGTAGGACTGCGGGGCTCCGGACAGCATCGCGGCCGCGGCCCCCTGCTGCAGGTTCTGGTCATCCAGCAGGACTCTGACCACATCTGCGCAGGTGGTGCGCTTCGTCAGCCCGGAGACGAGCTTCTCCTCCCGGCAGACCCACACTGAGAGCTTCCCCTCCTCCGGCTCCATCTCCAACGCAAACAAGTTGTAATAAAGTGTCCAAAAGTCTTAGTGTTTGTGTCAAAAAGTAAAAGAGATAAAAGTAGTCCTTAGAGTTCTCAACACATTTGAATGAATCTATCAAAAGTATGGAAACTGATGCAAAATCCAGAAATCCTCAACGCTCCCGTCGCTGCGCATCAGCTCTCACTTAAATACGCTCAGTCCGAACAGATGACCTTGTTACGGCTAAAAGTCCTGAGTTTTTCTCAGTAAAAAAAGAACATTGAAGTTACCATGTCCTGCCGGGACATGGTGGCTCTCTCCCCGGCAGACTGATCTCAGCGCGCGGCTCCGGAGAGGAGAGGAGCGTCCGTGCGTCAGGACCGACTGCCCTGTGTGCGGGACGGAGCAGAGCTGAGCTGAGCCCGGGACACGCCCCCTGCCTCTTTCACAGAAACACACACACACTCCAGTGGTGGAAGAAGTAGGCTACTTATATCTAGTATTTGAGTGTAATAGAGTACATTTACAATGCAGGCACTTTATCTGAGTATTTGCATTTTATTCTACTTCATATTCCTACTTAGCTACTTATTTCAGAAGCCAATATTGTACCTTTTTCTGCAGTACCATTTTCTGACAGCTTCAAGGACTTTATCAATTCAAATTATAAGCAAGAAATATAAATCAGCTCATAAATAACCATTGATATACTGTATAGGTTCAGATATAGCAGTATGGAAAATGCCAGCTGTGGTACACTACTTGAGTACATTTATTTAGTTATTTTCCACTATTGTACATTGCGACACAGAGAAAACCTGGACTGATATAGTAATAAAATAGATCGATAAATATAGAAATAGAGTCTTTGTTGACTTCAATGTCAGTGTTATAATCAAAGACTGTTAAAGTGCACGTTAATCTGATCAGTAATCCCAAATCCAACTGTTTGCTAATCTCTGCCATTCACACACTGATCACTTAGACATGCAGGACAGTGACCTGCTGTTTGTTAGAGGTTAAAGGTCAGTATTCTACTTTGTTATCAACAAAACCCATAAATAAGACTTTATACACTACTATTGTACAAGTGGTGGTGGATAGTATATTTACTGAATATAGTACATCAGTGCAATTTTGAGGTACTTAAGTATTAACCCTTTATTCTCATGTTTTGGAAGGGCCATATATTCTGCTCATTTTCAGATTCCTATTAGTATATTAGTGTCTCTACTGTGACATGTGTCCATGCTTCAATGTTCAAAAAGGTCTTTCTTTTTCTCATACTGCGGTGATGTCACTATGAAGAAGAAGAATGGGAGGAAACCCTTTAATGGTCTCACACGCAGAGCACACAGCACACACAGTGACATGTGTTCTCTGCTTTAACCCATCCTAGTACCAGGAGTCTAGTACTAGGAGCAGTGGGCAGACTATGTTACTGAAGTCAACAAAGGTGTCCAATGTAGGCGTTTCAGGTGGGGGGGGAGGGGGAGGTTGTGGGAGAGAAACTCCCTCTGGAGGGAACACAAAAATCTATTTAACACATTACAGGAAAGGGGAAACCAAAAAAAGGTCAACAGGGCCTGTTTAATGTTTCATTGGCATACATTTACTCCACAACATTTAAAGTTACTCTTGATATTATGATTTTTCATGCGTAAATTGTCATAGTAGAAAAGTTAAGATCAATTCCACCTGCAATATGTTTATATATATTTATATAATATCGATAATAATATACTTTTATTTGCATTTTATAGTAATAAAGTAAGTAAGCATTTTTGCGTCACTAATTAAATCACCTTAAAACTTTCTTTAAGATCGTCATTGTTTCTCTTTTAAATTAAATATGTATCAGATTTAGCTTGCAGGCAACACAGGAAATTCAAATGATGTGCATTTTTTTTAAGTTAGTGAAAAAATAGACAATTCTTAAATTTTCTTCTGTTATTACTCGCAGAAAATGTTGTTTTTCATTCATAGCAAAAAGCTGATTAGCAAAATAGGTTTATTTGAAAGTAAAGAAAGAAATCTCAATAATTGTTCCACCTTTGATACAAAACATACTTTAGTCAGAGGTAAAGAGTGATATGTTTAGGGCCAGACAGTGCCTTTATTGGAGATACAGTGTTGAAAGGGCGGAAAGAGGGGATGACATTGCCTGGCATTTCTTCACAGGCTCGGGAGTTGAACCCATGTACTTGACAGTGAACACAGCATATGGGCCGCCAACCTTAACCCTATAACCCACCTTTCTAAACACATTTCTGTATTTATAAAATAAATGTATGTCTGATTGTTTACAAATCTAACATCCTCAGTTTCCATCTTTTTACAGAATTGAGCACATATTGTGTTGTTGCAGCAATGCGGATGTATTGTGAAGGTCTTTTTATAATACCTGGCACAAAGTAGAATTAATGAGTCCAGGTTACAAGCCAAGAAGTAGCAGATGAAAGTCTTACTCAGCAGTGTTGCACTGCAGCATGTATTGTTATGCTGTTTCATCTTCATAATCCGCACACGGATGAATGTCTCCGTACGATATAAAGCTCAGCTGGATTGATCACAAAGCGGAAAGAAATCCATCTGTTACACCCTGCAGGGTTATAATATACTGTCTGCCCCCATAATCTGCTCTTTCAGCCATTTCAGGCCAGAATATGGTCTCTGAAACTCATAAAAGGATTTATCTGCATTAAGAGTGTTTTGGAGTATTACACTGAAAGCAAGTGTTTATCCCGCCATTAGTCTGCTCTGACCTTTGCTCCGAGTGATGCACCAGGCCAGGTTTGTTGGTAAAATAACTGCTTAGAAAACATCTGGGAACACACACTAATGCATGTGTGTGTGAGTGCACGTACACAAATACACAGTATTAGTCCCACAGCATACATAACAAACACAGTGGATTTGGATAAAGAGGATTGTCAGGGCTGCGTCTGGGAGATAACAGAAGGCTTTTCTAATCTTTGGTCTCATTTCCTATGAGTCATCACGTCTTTTTGACCTGTAGACTTATTATTGGCTGTCAATGGTTTCATGCTTTCAGTGTTATCGCAATAGAATGGTGCAGTGATGACGTCTTTTAGAAGGCCGAACCGGAAGTTAGCACAGCAAGGGCTCCCTAAAGAAATGAAAAATTGCAATTAAGATCTGTGGGAAACACAAGTTTATGACACAAACAGGTTTCTTTAGCTGGATAATCTCCACATATTCACACCACTTTTATGATGGGTCCACATCACCACCGCTAAGCTAAAGGCGGCTAGTGTTTGGTGTGATGATGTTTAGACGTCTCGCTTTAGACGCTCACTAGTGGTGTATCAACTGACTTATTTTATGTTGTAGAACAAAACGTAAACATCTCTACTGCTTGAGTCACCCACAGACCTTATTTCAGGAATTTAACCAAAAACACGTTAAAAAAACCCTTGACTTTAAGACGAGGGAACAGGAAGTGGTGAACTGCTGACCACTCTATACATGCGACCACAAGTGTGACTAATTGAAACATGTAGTTCTTGGTTGGTAGATTGTTTGCCCATTTGTGATATGCAACAGTGATATCATAAATATACACACATGTGCAGTAATACTTGCATTAATCAATGAATATATAATAATACATTTTAACGATTTATATTTTTTGTTGCAAATATGTACATATATGTGATACTTTATAATTATTATACAATGAGAATAAATAAAGAGCTTTTGTAAAACTGTTTGTTGAATTCTTGGAGAATGGCTCCCTCTGGTGTTCAAATAAAACATCATTTGAATTATACGTTCACAAAGAAGCATTGTATAAATAAAGCAAATAATTCAGCAATACCTTTGTTAATCTGTGTAAACTATACATTTCAACACATATGATTTGTAAGCGGGAGTGGAAGAGGAAACTAAAAATCCAAAAGGTATGTATATACCTTTCTGTCATATCACAACAAACAACAACATCATTATTATGAGTAGGCTATGTCAGAAAATGTCATAATATAGTAGGCTATGTCGAAGGGATCAGAAAAAAGGATGTATTATACCTTATAGCTACACTGCTCCCACACTGTGCAACTCACTCCCCCCACACATCAGACACAATCAGATCATTCAAATCCCACCACAAAACTCACCTGTTTAGATTAGCCAACTCACTCTATTTCATCATTTATTTAAGTACTACTTTCATGTTCCTCAATACTTTTTTCCTTTTTAATACTATACAACGTAGTATATAGTATGTAGAAAATATGATAAAAAACGACATGGTATTGTAGTGATCACTTATTAACACACTGACACATAATTCACACATGGAACTACAGGTTGGGGGTATTGTTTCCGCACGGACGTATGTGGTTAACTATATATATTGTGTGCCCTCCTGGCCTCTTTCTCTTTTCTTCCCGGACTGCAACCGGACAACATGACCTTTGCTGCTCCTCATTAAAGTTCCCTTTTGCACCTTCGATGCACTGCCTCCAACTCCTATCTCTCGACACTACAGTAATATAGTATTTTGAAAATAAGAAAAAAGCTACATAAAATGTCGAACATATGATAAAACAAACGACATGGGCCCTTTCTCATTTCTCTAACTCCCCTCCTCGACTCCTATCCTCGACACTTAGTGCCGCCCACAGGAGATGCGAGTGGAGGACTGAGGAGGGGAACCGAGGAGAGAGGAGGGGAAGCAGCAGGCGGTTAGAGAAATGAGAACTCCTCTCCTCTGAGCGGTCATTTTAAAGAGACGTCCATTAATGATGTGTTGTATGTTTTTGTAATAATGGACCAAGAGTCTCTTTAAATAAAAGATGATGATGATGATGAATGATGACAGGAGGCACAGCAGCCTCTGCTGTGATGTGTTCATGACGACTTATTAAGGATGTAACGATACCCAAAACTCACGGTCCGATAATATCGCGATAAAAGTCCACAGTACGATATTTATCGCGATATTGAAAAATAAAGAAAAAAAATGTGATTTTTTTTTGTAATTTCTTCTTCTTTTTTTTTACTTGAATTTTTTTTGTTTATTAAATAATAAATCTCATTTGTACAGCATTTTAGTAGGATAGTAGTATTTTAAAGTGTCAACAATATAATAATCAGACCCTGCAATCAGGCTTGGATTTTCGTCATTTTAGGGGCAAGGCCATTTGGCCTTTGGTGTCACACATTTTTTCAGGGCGCAAAGGCCATTGAGGGAAACATTTGGATTTGGAGCTTACAAATACATAACTTCACTTTCTGATAAGAAAAACACACGAATGACATGGAAAACAAATCACTTTTTTTAATATCAATAATGTCAAACAGTATATCATCATATAGGCCTATGCCTCCTTAGTATTACCATATATAAAATGAAATACTC